AAGTCACACGTTTGTCTGAGCTTTCTAAGTTTTGGCCTTAAGGCTTAAACCAAGCATGAAAGTACTGGCAAACATGTTTTTAGAAAAAAATAACGCTGTATATGACAGCAGCAGTTATTGCATAGGCACAATAAAAAGTTTTGGCTATGTTTATAGTAATATTCATGGAGTCAAAATAAAGATATTTGCCTGTATTTCAAATTTGGGTTAATATAGGTGCATAGATACAAATTACATGTGTTAGGTAATTTATACATTTTGGGAAAATCTGCTAGAGTGCTTATTACATTATGAATTTATATCCATGTTATTTCCCTCCATATTTTCAGCAAATTACATAATTCCCTGTTTCCTACAGGAAATGAAGGTATTTTTTGCCCACCTAATTTTCAAGAGAGGTATTTCTAAAGGTGAAACAACATATTCTTACCTTGTTTATATAATTGAAAAGTGCAAAGCAGAAAGTACTTCACATGAAATCATAATCCAATTCATTTTCGTGTTTCATCATAACAATACTCATTGTAAATTACCACATGCCAGTATCACAGTTTCCAGCTTCTTACTGCAATATCTGCAAACATGTCACCATAATTCTACAAGTTGCTTATTTAATCTTGGTTTCTGAAAATGGGATCAAAAGTTAATTAAACTTTTGGCATTAAGTTATTTTTTATTTCTATAAATTTAAAAATTTGGGGTGAGATCAGAAGAATTGAGAAAACTCTGCTATGCATCATATGTTGCACAAATTATTAGACCGTCTGTAGAGGAGCCTAGTAGCAATTTACCATTCCTTGAAACCAAATTGCAAGCTGTATTCAAAATAATAAATACTGTTTGTTTATTTATGGGCCATATATTATGTTTTCATCTGTACTATGAGGTTTGCTTTATTAATAATTTAAATAAGTTGTACAATACACTGGTTGCTACTTTATTAAATCATATGACATATGACATGACATTTCAAAATTATAATGCTTCTTAAACCACATGACAAGGTAACATAAATGCAAGACTGATGCTTTAATTTCTGTAATTATAGCTACTGCAAGGAACAGTGACATCATCTGATATGAAAGGGTATCTGAATTTTAGATTCAATAACAGTTTTACTAGTATTGCTTGTTTTTAGCATATAGCTAAGAGATCCTTTGAAAATATGGCATAGTTCAAATATTTGGAAACGACAATAACATATCAACTCCTGATTCAAGAGGAAATTAAGAGGAGACTGAATTTTGTGTAATACTTGCTGCCATTCAGTCAGACCTTTTGTCCCCTCCTCTGCAGTCTAAGACATAAAAATTAGAATATCCAAACTATAATTTTACCTGTGTTTCTGTATGGGTGTGAAACTTTGTCTGTGACATTAAGGGAGGAACATAGACTGAGGGTGTTGAAGAACAGGGTGCTGAGGAGAATATTTTGACTGAAGAGAGTTGAAATGACAGGAGGTTGGAGAAAACTGTATAATGAGGAGCTTCGTAACATGTACTGTTCGTCAAGTATAATTTGACTGATTGAGTCAAGGAGTATGAGATGGACAGGGTCTGTAGCACGAATGAGGGAGAAGAGGAATGCATGTAGGATATTGGTGGGAAAGCCAGAAGGAAAGAGACCACCAGGAGGACCAAGATGTAAGGGGGGGGGGGGGTTGGATGATATTAAAATAGATCATACAGAGATAGGATGGGGTTGTATGGACTGGAATGATGTGGCTCAGGATATGGACCAATGGAGGGCTCTTGTGAACATGGTAGTGAACCTTCGGGTTCCAAAAATTGCTGGGAAGTTTCTGAGTAGCTACACAATTGGCGGATGCTCAAGAAGGGCTCAGATCCATGAAAATTAATTAGTTAGTTATTATAAAGAGTCTAACCAGAATTATAAATTAGTATTCATACCTATGAGTAGGAGCCAGGATAGTGTAGTCAGTATAACAACTAGCTATAGGCTGGACGACTGAGGGGACAGAGTTCAAGTCCTTTTAGGGTCATGAATTTTCTGCTCTCCACGTTGTCCAAACTGGCTTTGGGGTTCACCCAACCTCCTATCCAATGGATACCAGGGGCTTTTTTTCCCAGGGGTTAAAGCTACCGAGCCGTGAAACTGACCACTCACCTTTAGCTAGTGCAGAAATCTAGAAAATGTGGATCCAACTCGCCCATATGCCTTCATGGCATAGTGCTTAATTAGTTAAGCACAGGGACAACTTTACCTTTACCTATGAGTGTAATGCATAATACCAACCCTAAAAGTGTCAGACGTGAACGCTAAGTTTGATTTCATTTGCATGTTCATAATTTTTAAGCCAAAGAAAAATGTGCGATACAAAATTGTGGGCGTCTTTATTTTATGGTTCAGTTGTTTATTGTACTTTTTCACACTGCTAATGAAATGGTTCGTTACTTACTCTCATAAATTTTAAAATAGTTTGCATATGTATAAGCACAAGAGTGATTAAGTAAATAGGTCACAAATGGAAGTAAAACATTTAAAATTGATGTAATAAGTTTTCTATGTGTATTACTAGGCAGCAGCATGGTCCATCTTCATGACAGTATGGGTAGCAGACGTGCATGCGCTTGGTCCGAGGCTGGTCTTAGTAGTCAAAATGGCAACCGTGCTCGAGGGTGTACTACCGAAGAGCGATGTTCTGTTGTGCGTTTTTTGTAGGTGAAAGGACTCGATGCAAATGATATACATAAAGAAATGATTCCTGTGTGTGGTGGGAAGTATTTATCGCGTAAAGCGGTTCACATGTGATCAAGAAATTTTCTCAAGGACATTTGAAGGTCGCAGATGATTCCCGACCAATTTTCCTGGGTGAGACTGTGACAGTAGCAAAGACTTCTATGCTGCGGGTTTCAACGCACTGGTAAAGCAATGGGACAAGTGTATCAGTGTTGTTGGAGGATATGTCAAGAAATACGTATTCTTTCCAGGGTTGATTATCACATGTTTTACGTTTAATATCCATTTGTGATGTGTTTACTGACTCTCCCTCCCGTTTGGTGTGGTTGCTATATTATTTTGTGTTTCAAATTACAGTGACCATAACAAAATTTAACACTTCCCCAAGCCTTCTTATGATGCAAATATTTCAGGATCCTACCAGCAGTGAATCATAAAAATTTTGTGGACATTGAAATTTGCTACTGCCACATTTAATTTTATGATTGTAGCCCCTTTTTAAAATTCANGTACATTCTGCATATATTATTACCTCTCCTATAAAAAAAATACTTTGGGGAAACATGTTATTGTTTTATTTTTAGTACATGATTTTCTTGTATTATGCATTAACTTTCTTCAGTTTGAAAGCACTGAAGCATTCAGACTTTTTGCTTATCATTTTTACATTTTTATCTTTTATATACGTTAACCACAAATACTCCTACCATCCATATGCTAGATATTAGGTCAGTGCATTTTCACCATTTCTCATCACAAGACTGATTTACTTTTTCTGTTGCATGATAGAAACTGAACATGATTTATACATGTTAAGAGTTCTCCATGTATATAAGCTTGTATTGACTGAGGAATGTCATATACTCGTATATTAGGACAAGATAATTGTTTGTGAACAGCTGCAAGAATTTGCGACTGATATGCACCAGAAATTTGTAAATAATGAAAAGCTTTCTCATTTAAAGGGTTCCATTAACAGTAATTTATTAAAGTAAAATAAGTAGTCTTCTTTCAAAATTTTTAAACACCTGTATGCAATAGGTCATACATATAAGAAGAATATACGTATATGTGTATTATACCAGCTGTCTCAGATGTGTAATGAAAATTTGTGATTATTTATTATTTCTTCTCACAAGCAAATAACAGTATTTTTTTATTACACGCATATGAGACTGTTGGTATAATACACATATGTATTCCACAGAGAACACAAGCGGTATGCAACTCTATATAAAAATAAATAGAAGAAAATACAAAGACCTGAATATTCTGGTGGTTGATATTGCACAGCCTCCAATGAAATTAGTAATTTAAACAAGCGGTATGCAACTCTATATAAAAATAAATAGAAGAAAATACAAAGACCTGAATATTCTGGTGGTTGATATTGCACAGCCTCCAATGAAATTAGTAATTTAAACAAGCGGTATGCAACTCTATATAAAAATAAATAGAAGAAAATACAAAGACCTGAATATTCTGGTGGTTGATATTGCACAGCCTCCAATGAAATTAGTAATTTAAACAATGAATTGAAATTCTTAACATGTGATGCATTTGTAGTTTGTTAAGACTTATTGTTAAAAAAAAAGTTAAAATTTAATTTTTGGGAAAGAATATCTGAAATCAATCTTTGCACATTTAAGGTGTGCTTCTGATTAGCCTGGTTGTAATTTCATGGATTTCAGTTCCGAATGTTAGGAAAGAAAGTCAGATTTTTTTATGCATCTTCAGTGCTCCAGTTGCTTAACCTTAACCTTAACTTTTTTAACTGCAATATATTCCTTACTGTATTTAATGGTCATATAAAAAAATAAATATTATACATTGTTTGGTGTGCACAATTTTTGTATGACTAAAAGTAACATCGAATGTTATTTGTGATTTAAGATACCAAAATTATATTATTTCGTTTTTCTTGCTTCTTAATTGTTGCAATATTACCATACAATGAAATTATCAAGTTCTGATAATGGTTTTTGCAAGTTTAACGATTTTCTCTGAATAAACATATGTAACATTTCCAGTATTTTGTTTCTTTAAGTAATTGGTATATCTTTGGAGGGTTTTTTTTTTTTTTTTTGCAGATTGGTTGTCAGACTTGCTTAGTGACTTCTTGCAGTACTGTGTACCTTTACAGATAACTCCCCAGTACTCTCACCATATTTTTCAGGAATATAGATTTTAAATTAACATGAAGAAAGTGATGACTTTTATATTATATGTGATGTGTTTGACTTATGTCATCCTGGGACTGGTTTTGCAAATTGCATCCATCCTGGTGATGATCTCTGTAGGGTTTGGAGATTCCAGTCTACATCTGGTATGACAGTTACCCTACACATAGTGGTGAGGGGTATGAGGGACGTGTGTCCAGAGTTTCACCAGACTCCCCATATGGTCTCGCTTCCCTCAACCTGACCAACATCCGTGAGTCGGACCAGGGATGGTACGAATGTAAAGTGGTGTTCCTCAATAGGAACCCCGGCTCCAAGAATGGTACCTGGTTTCATTTGGATGTTCATGGTAAGTACTCCATAATGGTGATTACTAGGGATGCAGATGTATATCATCTTGGGATCTGTAGGGTATATTTGGTGGACAACAATATGAATAGATTTCAGTGCTGCATGTTCAAACTCTTATTTTTATTGTAGAAAATGTACATAAATTTGAAGCAAACTTCAACCACGATACAGTTATGGTTGGTTCTTTTTATTTTATTTGGATTTTGTTGAACATGGAGAGGAGATCATCCTGGAATTGTAACAGTGGTCTTCAGTTTAAAATATCACTTTAAGAAACCTGATGATGACATAAAGTGGTGGAAACATCGAACATATTACCTGATGACGAGATAGCAGTGCAAGAGAAGAATGAGGTAATTAGTGACCACAATGTGTTGAAGAGCATGACATGACAGAGTAGTCCAGGAAGTGACCCAACATTGTTTTCTACGAATATTTCAAAATTTCAATATAAATATTAATGCTATATTTGGTTGCTGCAACTGTCAGATATTTAGTCATTTCACTACTAATCGACTGTCAGCCATTAATGAGTAGTGAAGATCATTAATGGAAGTTTGAACCAACCAGAATTTGTCAATACAAGAATTAAGCTACATTATTCCCATGCATCATATTAAATTTGATGAAAGAAAGTCACTAATTGGTAGTGAGCTGAAGGATCATGATAGGAATGCATATATAAGTTCATAATTTTGACAGTGCTAATTTTGTAGTGCGAATTCAGCGAAATATTGGGAGTAGGAATTTACAGCTGGACGAATATGAGCAGATTCAAATTTTAACATAGCATTGCTGGTGTAGCAAAAAATATGGAACCCTATGTTTGTCAAATGTCCCAAATCTAATTCTTGATCTGTTCGTGAATGTGACCTATGTCATCCTGGGACTGGTACTGAAACTTGCATTGATACTGGTGATGATCCCTGTAGAGTCTCATCATTTCAGCTTACATGTTGTGTGGGAGTTGCTCTACACATTGTGGCAGTATTATGAGGGACATGTGTCCAGAGTCTCACCAGATTCTTCCTACGGTCTTACTTCCTGCAACTTTACCAACATCCATGAGTGATCTCCTTGAGTGTCAAAAGCATCCGGATAGCAATGTTGCTGGAGTATGTGCAGGACAATTTCAGAGCTTACATTCAGATTAATTATATCAAGGCATATTGCTTGACTTGGAATTGGAGAAGTGTCAGGAATGACTTGGTGGGGCCAGAAACTGATAGGCATTTGGAATAATAAGAGGAGGACTGGAGATAAATTTGGTGTTATGATAAAGGAACTTAGCTTTCTTCTATAAATATGTATGGTAATTTCACATCCTTCCAGTCTGAAGTTCTTCAGGCATCACCAAGATAAGTACGATATCTCACTTTGCAATAATATATGTAGGAAGGGTTATCAAAGGAAAGTAGTTGTATTGCAAATGTTTGCAATGCAAATGGTAGAGCATGATGTTACACATTTGTTATATCATTTTATCATTTTTTGTGCATATTGAAGTATATACAAGTATATTATTCCTTGGTCAAAACTTAAATGCATGAACATCTGGAAAATCTCTTTTTGTTATATAAGTTCAATCCCTAGCTAATCACCAGTGAAGGACATTCGGGTGGAAGTGAGTACCATTCTTCAGTGTGGAACGTATAGGGGAACACCACTGTAGGTTGTTATGGAAGGAGAATACTGCCTGGCTACATTAACTTTTAATCACTTTCTTGGCCTAGTTCGTCTTGCATTAGCAGCAGGGAAGTGTGAGGGAATGCCTACTGACTTACATAGCCATGTGACCTCTTCCTATCCCCATCATGATATTCTGATTAATATAATATTATTATGGCTTATTATATTTTATACATTCTAAGTTAATGTGATTGGGTAACAGTATCTGAGGCATGGGACTTCTCTTTGGTGAGGTTTACTTGTCATGTCTGAAGCCCATTAACTTGCCCATTTGCTATTCGTTTTATAGCTTTACTTGCTTCAGGATTTTGTATGGTGACATTTGAATTAATTTTAAATGTCAAAGGGTTGTTGATAGTGATACTCAGAGGGGGCAGCGGTTGTGTTTTGTGTGATGTTTTTGACTTGTGTAACGCTGGCGCTGGGTGCTAAATTTGCATCCTTCCTGATGATAATCTCTGTAGGGTTTGGAGATCCCGATATACATCTGGTATGACAATTACCCTACACATAGCGGTGAGGGATATGAGGGACGTGTGTCCAGAGTCTTGCCAGACTCTCCCTATGGTCTTGCGTCCCTCAACCTGACCAACATCCGTGAATCAGATCAAGGGTGGTACGTGTGTAAAGTGGTGTTCCTCAATAGGTCACCGGGTGTCGTAAATGGTACCTGGTTCCACTTGGATGTTCACGGTGAGTACTTTATAATGGTTGCTATAAAAGACATAATTTGTATTCAGATATTTACTGGAACTTGCAGCCCTGTCTTTACATTTTGTAAGGGTGGAACATCTTTACACGTGTGTGCACATTTTTCATACAAGGACCTGTTCAACTACATTGAAGTTATCAGTTACCAAATTAATATCACCGAGAGTTTGTGTTGAGCAATCCTGATTCAGTCCCATATGATTTTGCTGGGATACTGTATAGATATTATATATTTTAATATCTTTACATCCTATGTACACATGTGTAAAATGCATGCCAATAGAAATGGAAGATTACTCACACCACACTCAACTTTAACTCATTAAGACATGTATTGTGATCCTCTCTGTTACCAGTGAAGTGACAGAGCAGATTAAGAAAGCAGCAGGCAGGGAGGTAGCAGAAACTAATAAGGAACACTTTGAGAACTGATATATAGAGAATGGTAATGCTGGATCAAGCATGCCCCAGCTGAAACATTTCAGAATCAAACATCAGTTTCTGAAGCTGTTAATGCATTGTGAGATTGGTGGTTATAGGATATAGCAGTGAGCAGATACTATAAAATTGCATTCTTGATGAGAAAGATCAGTGTGTAAACAGATTTTAGAGTCATTTAACAAACCAATTCTGAATTGCAATATTTGGTACCTCACATCAGATGAAGAGAGAAAAGAGCCTGGAAGATCATGGCAGTAAGATTCTAGTGGGAAATTAATTAACTCTTGTCTCCTTCTCCATCTACCAAATGGTCACTTTCCACAAGCATTTCCTGCTGAACTTCTGTATGCATTTTTTGTTTCCCTGTGCTCTCTGTATGTCCAGTTAATCATAGCACCCTTTATTTAACAACCATACTACAAATAGGACAGTTGTATAAATGACATAGTTCCGTGTGTAATACTGCATGTTATATCAAATGCATCATATGAGATATAAAAATTATTAATCGTATCCTGAAAGTGTTGTTAAATACCCAGCTCTATATATATCAAATATATTTTTTTGAGGCTCTGGACACAGGGAGTACCCTACTGTTAGCAGCTGCATACCACCTCTAATGCGTAGAAGCAGGTCACGTGGACACCTGCCATGCAGTAAGTGCAGTGTTTGCCGCCAACTTTCCATAAAAGAGTTTCATTTTTCTAGTGCCCATGTTTTCTGGAAAGTAATAAAGTCCAGGTTAACCTTGAACCACATCTGTAAACAAGCAAATGAAATATGACACTTTGTCTAAGAATTTCACCATAGAGACATATCAGTGTAAAGTATCACAGGTTCTGAACATTGACAGTAGATGCAAATGAGAGTTTCACATTCTTGCTGCTTTGAATCCTTTGAAAAGAGTTCATGGTATCTATTGACTAAAGGGATGGATGGGCCCTAGAGCCATTCTGGATATGGCGGCAAAGAGAAAAACTGCCTCTGCTGGAAAATGAACCCCAGCTGTCCAGCCATTAGCATACTTTAAGATAATGATAGGCCAGCTGAATAGTACACAGTTTGAAATGAATGTAAATTGGTATTTTATTTAACTAACCAACTTCAGACTATTATATACTATTATAGCAGTGCTCCAGTCACCATAAGTCTTTGATCTTGTGGTCATTAATTTATCATAGAACAAACCATCCACAAGTTTACCATATCAAGGTTCCATAGGTATTGTCAAAGTTAAAAAAGAGAAGGAACAAGTCATTGTCTCCAAAATTGATTTTTTGACAGAGCTGAAATAGATTTTGATAGTCTGAGAAGGGGGAAAGTCTTTGAGCATTTGTCAGTTCACAATCCAGAAATTTAATATCTAAAATCCTGTTAGAATCTCAAAATAAATATAGCTGTCACACAAGTATATATTGTGACATGGATGGCACAACAGGAAGTAGGGGTCACGTGAACTGTGCGGTCTCGCAAGTGACGTCACTCCTTCCATCAGTATGCAACGCTCGGTAAACACCCCCTCCCCCTTGGTGACATAATAGAAGAGCAACTGTGTCAGGCAACCATTGCCGCGGTGACGTAACAGTACTTCCCACTGTGACGTAACAAGGAGACACCGCTGTTGACAGGCAACAGGGAACAGTATAGAAAGCCAGCTGAGCAGTATGTGAGCAGAGTGTGTGATCAGGAGTTACACAGTGCGGATCGTGAAGTTGCCGAGTGCAGCAGAAGTCTAGCAGTCGCCGAGAGCAGTGGATGTAATTGTGATACTGCCGATGGCAGTGTGACGTCACTAGCGAGACCACGGAGTTCATCTGTAATGATAAAATTGAAACATGTTAATTTTAATGACAGGTGTTAAACATATTACTATTAAACCCATGTCTCAATACATTCTGGCTACAGATGAGATTGAATGAAAGCATGGGGGATGCCTGGAAGTTAGCAGTATAAGTATAAAATAATGTGTGGCTGTAATAGGCACAATTTAATTTACATTATGCAGACATAAGTGTGCAAAACTGAAACTTGGAAGAAATATGAGAATTAAAATGTTGACACATGTGGTCTGGTGGCCAGTGTGTATAGTGCACACTCTCTGCAGTACAGTATAACAATTTTGTCAGTTTCGGCCGAGTCATTATCTGCGCAGCTTAT